AAAAAAAAAAAAAAAAATAAAAAAAAAAAAAAAAAAAAAAAAAAAAAAAAAATTTTTTTTAAATTAGTGGCATAATGAAAAATAAATAGAATAAAAACTACCGATTTACCTGAAGTAAAATGTTGACCAGTCATTGTCCTAACATGTCATGATTCCTCCTGCACATTCATCATAAGCTGTGAATTCTGGCGGTGATGGGGGTCTTCAAGTGATCTCTGTGAAAACAACAACTTTAACCTGGAAGTAAAATAATACATTAATTAGTAGAAGACAGAAAATTTATTATATTAGAGCGCAAGCTTGCATTAATATGAAGAACAATTTTAACCTGAAAGTTACCATCATAAAAAGTACCCAAAAAAATTAAATCACACACTTGGTGTAATCATTGCTTTTACACCAGCCATGTTTGCATGGGTGTTTCGGCAAAAAATCCCTGGTTTTCTAAGGGAAAGTTGAATAGCTTTGTTTATTTAATCTATTAAATAGTTAAAGTCCAACCACTATTGGAATTAGGGAGGTGGTGTTAAATGAACAAAAGAAAACCTTCAAAATGGTCACGTCAAGCTCAGTGCAAGATTTTAACTACAATTGCATTACAGTAGTGAATCTTTAAAAATTTAAATAAGATTTTTTTGTCATAGATCAATGGTAATATAATTCTAACCTGCAAGATGTAACTCTTGATTATTACTACTATGATTTAACCAAAAAAAATGTATGCTATAGCAACAGATGAATCTAAATATAAGGAGCAATCCACCTAAATAGCTCTTTTGCATTTTTTAATTATGTCTTTTACAGCAAAAATGCACTCAATATGTCAGAAGGAAATTTAGATTTTTAGGGATTTTTATCTAATTTTAACTAAATTAGGAATGACTTTACCCTAACCTAATCAGTGAACCTAACCATTCCAATACAGTCTTTTGATATTTTTTACATGCACTTGCGGGATTTATCTTTATATAAAGTGCATTCAAAGGATCAAGATACTAATATTTATTGTTGGAAGGGGGATTAGGATGATTGCTACGTGTTAAGAGAAAATGTAAAGATATGTGTTTATTATGGCATGTAATTGACTAGGACAGAGGCTCCCAGACTGTGTCCTGCTGCAACCTGAAGTGTTAATTAATGCAAGCCATTTATAATTAAGTTGGTATTTTTCACTAGGTCTCCAACCTACTTGGTACTCTGATCTCTCTGTGTCTAGCAGTGAATCTGACACTGACGAAAACAATCAGGAACGTAGTGAAGACAATCAAAATGATTATGTTTAGGATAATGTTGTGAATCCTTGGATTAAGATTAGGGGTTCTGAATTGGATAGAGAATAGAGATGACCCCTATGAATTTTTAGAAAAAAATAGAGCCTTTAAATATGCCTCATGGGATAAGCACCCCATTTGAGTACTTATGCTAATTTTTACACAATATATCATTAAAATGTTTGTGAGAGAGAATAATAATAACTAATGCAGACAACTTTCTCAGTAACACCCAGCTCAAATAAACCATAAATGGATGCACAAATGGTGAAAAGGGCCGCTCTGTCTGAAGCAACCCAAAAGTACCCCGAGGGCAGGAATAGGAGTAGAACTCTGTGCCAGGGGTGTCTAAAGGGCCTCCATGGGCCTTATTTCCCAAAACACATGTGGTAGGATCCATTCATGCTTCATCCATCAAAAAATTCGCATAATTTACACCGGTAAGTTATGTTTATTCTCAGTCGAAATAGACGAGTCTGTTTACATGCAGAAAAAATCATGTCGGGCGAGTTTTGCCACAACAATGGGTCTTTGGAGGCATTTGTCAGGAGATTAGTGAGTGTTTCATGTTTTGTGTACAAGATAGATCAGCAGCTACACATTACACTTATGCCGATAATCACAGCACACATCCTGCTGGGCACAACAGTCATGTCAGATCAATGGAGAGCATATAATGCAATTGGCACCACTCCGGGATTGACTCATCAAACGGTCATTCATTCTGTTAAGTGTTGAATCCAAACTCAGGTGCCAATAGCCAATACCCAAAACATCGAACGTTTGTGGAAATCTGTAAAAGAGAGAAACAAGCGCCACAATGGCACACAAAGACTTATGCTCGATTTGTATATGTGATTTCATGTGGACATGTGGCATCAACGTGTTAAAGTAATTGGTTTTTATGTCTTCGACTCCATTCTAGACGATATTGTTCAATTTTGGCCACTACAGCAGCTGAGGACCTTTAAAGAAGTAAGTATGTTTTTATTCAAAATAACATTTGTTTTATTGGAAGTGTGAAGTGTTTTAATGGAAATGTGAAATAATGTATAATAATTTTTGAATTAAAAAAGTTCTTTAGGCTAATTCAGATTGATCAGGTTTAGAGATACATTTTAGGCTTCATGTTAGGTTTAGGGATACATTTAGGGTTCAGGTTAGTTTAGGGATACATTTAGGACATAAGTTCGTGGGTCAAGATAACCAAGATGGCGGCCGCGGGCTGATCTCTCCGAATTGTTTCATATTCAAAAGAACATTTGTTTTATGGGAAGTGAGAATAAAAATAATTTTTGCGGTGAATTAAAATTGAAGTAGATCTATCCACTTTTGATACCGGGTCAGAATAGCCGCAGCCAAACTTTTCATTTCAATTACAGATAAGACAGTAGGCAGTAGGCTCAGTAGCCGATTTGCCGCAAAAAAAAAAAAAAGCAACTTTGATCTTGATTGATGTCATGATAATGATTATAGAACTATATTTAAAATAGAATTAAAAATACAATAAATTATAAACATATTTACCGGGTAAGAATAGCCGCAGCCAAACTTTTCATTTCAATTACAGATAAGACAGTAGGCAGTAGGCTCAGTAGCCGATTTGCCGCAAAAAAAAAAAAAAAGCAACTTTGATCTTGATTGATGTCATGATAATGATTATAGAACTATATTTAAAATAGAATTAAAAATACAATAAATTATAAACATATTCTTACTTGCTTTTAGCTGTACATGGGACAAAATATGGGACATTTCTCGGTTGACAATAATGGCTGTAATATGGGCCATTGATGGCAAACGAACAGGAAGTATCCGTCACAACTATCACGTGACCAACCGAATAATTATTACGGTCTAACGTGAATAGCTAATTGTTGCTATAGGTACACGGGAACCTATAGCCACTCAGATATATTATTTAAAACTGTCAGCTACTCTCTTAACCCCACGGCTACAGTTTTTGGCGCTGTGAGCAGGGTAAAATTGTGTTAACCAACAATCACACCCCCCACCCTTGCGACCCGGTAACGTATAATTATTAAATTCCTAACTGGCCTAACTGCTTTTATCTTTTCAGTATCAGAAAAAGAAACAAACTGAAACTGCTCTAACTATTTCCACGCATTTTTTTTTTAAAATCGCTTTTTCCAGTATCATGTGGATTCCATTTTTGTTCCTGGCTAGTACTACTCTTAGAGAAAACAAAAATCTAAAGCTCCAATTTAAAAATAAATTCGATTGATTTCTTTTAAACAATGTGTAAAAATTTATCGAAGAGGCAAATTAACGTAAGAAAGTTATAGTAATTTGAAATTCCAAATGAGCTAAACATTTCAACCAACTGAAAATTGGAAAATGTATAGACAACTTTATTTTTAAAGTGTGAAGACTAAGACGCCCCTTTAATCATAATGCCTTATAACTTTAGTGTAAACGTTAAGTGAAAAAAATAGTTGAACAAGTTTTGTACTTGATTCATATGCAGTGATGATGTCAGTCGCTATACGATATCATTTTATATTCAATCAATTTTTTTATATTTAAATTGAAATCAATTGTATTGAATAATAAATACAATAGTAAATTGCATAGGAGATTAAATAAATACAGAAAACGCGGGAAAAGGATTATGTAAAAGTTTAATCTAGGTCAAGGAAATAGTTGAACTGCTGAATGAACCATTCTGGAATTAAAAACAATTCCTAAAATTTTGAATTATAATTTAGAAACTAAATAAGACTATTTAGTCAGTATGTTAATAAAAAATATTAAAGATATAGTTAATATTGAAAATATGTATCTTGATTTTAAAAAAAAGAACACCATTAAACATGTTAAAATATCTTTAACTTTATTAAATATTTTAAGAATTGAACAAATTAGGGATAAGTTAAAAATAAAAATGCTATGTCTGACCAGCTGTATGTTACGCAACGCTTTGTATATTCTGAGAAAAAGTAGCGGTATCTTTTTATCAACAGTACGCATAACTGTTAATTTTAAGGTGCGTAAATATATTTGAGCTATGTAAATTTATTGATAATTAACATTTTTTAATTCTAATCATTTCAATTACTTTATCATGAAAATAAAATTAAAAACTACCAGCAGCCACCTCTCCACGACCACTGCACAGTCAGTGCACAGTTGAAACGTTTCGATTATCATGTTATTTCCAAATAGGCCCTATAATAAATAGCTTAATTAAAGCTTGAAAAATACACACTGTTAGTAGTAGTGTGGTAGTTGCTTAGTTAAAAAATTAACCATTAGTGCGACTTGCTAAAGGCTGTTATTAGTAATATAAATCAGTTTCAGTTAGGCTTAAGAATTTATGGCACTTATTAATAACTTAATTTATTTAAGGCTTAATTTTAATAGACTTGACTTAAGAAGTCAAACTAAGCATTACTTAGACTAAGGATTAGTCTTACTCTTAATTAACTCTAGACCTAGGCAGACTAGTCTGCGACTAGGCTAGGTTTAATTTTAATTTTTTAAAGAATAACAGTATTACTTAATATACTGTATACTTAACTTAAGTCTCTATCATAACTATCCTACTAAATTTTGAAACCACATTGACATTATGTGGCACTTCACATGACATAGACTATTACAAATAATAATAAAATGACCTACTATTACTACTATTAGCTATTTACTGTTTGGTAACTAAAATAACATTAGGTCCATGCTATAACTAACTCAGTAAGTAACTATTCAGACTCAGAATAAAATAAAGGCACGACAATACCACAGGCCTTAATTGTAATTAATAATTAATTATGCTAATACTAATATCTTTTAATTGATTAATAAGTCATAAGTTGCTTAGTAAAGTAACTGTATAAATTCTATCATCACTCACTCACCACTGACAAGTTACACTGACAGTGTCATTACACTGACTCATTACACTGACAGTGTCAGTGAGTTGACAGTAATGACAGTGACTCAAAGGCGTAGCGAGGGGGGGAAGGGCGGACAGATGTCAAATCTTGTCCCTGGGCGCAAATCGTGTCCCCGGGCGCCAAACACCCTCGCTACGCCTCTGCAGTGAGTCTCAGGTGTGTATGAGTACACAAGGTCCAGTAGTAAAATTGAGATTGTAGACCAGTGCTGTCCAACTGTCCAACCTTTTTGACTACATGAAATCCTGAGAGCAACAAAATGACAATTCAAAAGAAAGATTTATTTTTAGAGCATCATTCATATTATAATTACTGCTTACCTGATGCATAAAGAAATCCTACAGCATTTTTGGCTCATCAAGAATTTAAATAAAGTGAAAAAAAATTGTAACCATTTTTAATTAACTTTTGGCTTTGAATAGTACTTGCAAGAAAAATGTGTCTTAATTTGAGTTATTTATATATATAATTAAGAAGATATATATGCCTTCATTGGATTTTCTAAATGTTCACCTGTCAAAGCATTACATCTTTAGGACTTGGTCTTATTCATTACAGAGAATCCAGCTGCACTCAAGTAGGGTGCTTCCAAAAAACATGGTCAAAATTTTGTTGCATTTTTTTAGCTGTAGAAATCCATCAGAAGGAACATATATCATCAAGCACTTGTGTAGACTGTAGCAGTCTAAATTTATTTTCACTCACTGATCGGAATCCTCCCTGTGGAATTAAACTATTAATCATTTGTACCAATTGATACAAAAAATGTATTGAGCCGCCAATGTTCCTACTTATAAAGACGTTGAATAAATTTATTCTGTAAAGAATAACATAATTGTAAGGCATCTTTCCGTCTGCCGGAGACGATAGATTATCTTTATAGCTTGCAGCTCTTGGTGTGGCTGGTGAGACCAATCCTCGAATGGCAGTCTCTGTTACATTTCCCACACACAAATGCGGTGGAGCAGTATTTACCGGCCTTCCTCCTCGCTCTTTTTGCAGCTGTTTCCGCCCTGTTTTGATCCTCTGCATTTAGTGATCCTGCCTTCACGATGCCCCGCCATGAGGATCGATCCTCTGCCAGCTCTTCCCAGTTTGAGATGTCGATGTTGGCCGACTTCATGTCTTTTTTGCATATGTCTAAGTATCTCAGACAAGGCCGTCCAACTGACCTTTTCCCTGTCGCCAGCTCGCTGTATAGCATGTTCTTTGGTATGCGACCAGGTTGCATTCGCTTGACGTGTCCAAGCCAGCGGAGGCGTCTTTGGATTAACATGGCTGGGATGCTACACATGATTGTTTGGGACAGGACATCCGTGTTGGGGACTTTGTCTTGCCATTTAATGTCAAGGATGTGGCGCAGGCATCTGAGGTGGAATCCATTGAGCCTTCTTTCGTGTTTAGAGTATGTGGTCCACGACTCGCATCCATACAGAAGTGTGCTCAGTACGCAGGCCTGGTACACCTGCAGCTTAGTTCTTGTTGTGAGTTTGGCGTTTGACCAGACTCTTTTCTTCAGTCTGGCCATAACAGTTGCGGCCTTCCCTATCCTCCCACTTATCTCATCCTCCATTGAGAGGGTGCTCGATATGTTGGATCCCAGATATGTGAATCTGTCAACAGTATCCAAGTCGTAGTCGTCGATGGCGATAGTGGGGAGGGAGTCAGCGCCCTGTGCCATAATGTTAGTTTTCTTTAGGCTAATTGTCAGGCCAAACTCTTTGCAGGCAGTGGATAGGCTGGATACGAGGCTCTGCAGGCCGTCAGCTGTGTGAGCTACCAAAGCGGCATCGTCCGCAAACAAGAACTCCCGCAGCAAGACCTTTCTTGTTTTAGTCTTAGCTCTAAGGCGGGCAATGTTGAATAATTTGCCGTCATCTCTAGTGTGGATGTATATCCCCTCGCTGTTGTTCTGAAAGGCATACTGGAGTAGGATGGAGAAAAAGATTGCAAATAAAGTAGGAGCCAGCACGCAACCTTGCTTAACTCCACTACTCACTGGAAAAGCTTCTGAGGCGGCACCGTTATAGCACACTGTGCCCAGCATGCTTTCGTGGAACTGCTTGATGATGTTAAGCAGCCGTATAGGGCAGCCTATCTTTTTGAGGATCTGAAACAGGCTGCTACATAATTAATTTCATGTTATTAATAAGGTTTGACCTAGGACTAAACACCAAGATGTATAATCGTTCAAGTTTCTATGAATTTTCCCCACAAGGAAATTCAATACACACAAATTCCACACAGACAAATTCCCCACAAGAAGGTTGCGCTCACAGAAAATTCTCCTCATGTAAAATTAATGAAATGATACTCCCCACATTTTGTGTGTGTGTGTGGTTTTTTTGTTGCTGCAACTGCATTAGGGGGTCTAAAACTCAAAGAAAATTATAATGGCCAGACTTAAAAGAAAAACAGATATTATCCATTTACATTGCCTTTTCTTTTCATTGTTAAAGAATTTTTTTAGATGGTTAAAAAAAATCATGACACTATTTTTTCCATCTGCATCTTTTTAAAGAGATTTTTTTTAACACTGTTGAAATTTAAATTTTATTTAGGCAGGGTTCCCCAAACCAGAAAGTACTAATTTTTCTCTGATAAGAAACCATTGTTTGTCACACAAATCACCCTCAACAAAGATGTCGGACGATTCATCCAGTGCTAATGATGTGCAAGATGAAGAAAGTGACAAACAGAAGGAGGTTTCACCACCTGCTGACAAAAAAGAACAACCAAAGAATACAGTCAAAAGAAAAGAAGAGGTGGACAGTAAAAGTAAACAACAAGAAAAGACTAAGGTAGATAAACAGAAGAAAGCACAGGTTTTTTGTCTTAAAATTATTCAGAGCACTAGAGATTTTCAGCATTTTTTTTTCTAACAATACTTATAATCTGTAGGATGTTACATTTTAGATTTTGTCTTTGTTGAGAGATTGCTTTTATGTTATTAATTTGACTATTGATTAAAAAATAATTTTAAACATTCTGGGCTACAGAAAAATTCTTAAAATACACAGAATTTAGCCTTGGTGTATTCATAAGTTGTGCCTGTCAAGAATAAAATTATTCTGTAAGAAATGCATTACAAACTCAATTTTTTTAGTACTTTTTCTAATTTATTTAAGTTTTTTCAAGTTCTGAGTTTTTATCTGCAGCACTGGTTATAACTTATAAATCCTTCCCAACATTTAGTCAGGAGATTCTTCTAGTGGTAAAGAGGAGAAGAGACAAGAAAGAAATGGCAAGAACAAAACTGTTAAAACTGCAAATAGCAAGGATGTCACCAAGAAAGCAGAGAAGAGAAAACAGGATGCTGAAATTAAATCCAAACAACCGAAAAAGGCAAAGGTAGAAAAAAAGGAAAAATCTCAGGTTAGTTTCTACCCAACTTCATTGATGTTTTTTTTTTTTTTTAATCTCGGAAGATACGTTTTTTTAAAATAGCTGCAAATTCTTACCAAAAAATTTCCTTTTTTTTTTATCCTTTCATGTAATATTTTTAAAATAAAAAGGAAAGTGGGGACCTTTATTGCCTTGACCCACCCTAGCCTGGAAATAAACAAATCCAGTATAAACCACGCAGGTTTAGATGACGACATACTTGAAGCTAAATGAAAATTTGTTACTATCGTAAACAGGACTCAGAAAGTGCCAGTGAAAAAGAGGAGATCAAAGATACAGTGGACGATAAGGATGGTGATTTCCTTCAGAAGATTGTCAAAAGGCGACAAAAGGTCTGTGAGAACGTCTCCAAATTTAAGTTCAATAAAAAACGGGTCAAGGTGTTGTCGGAAACTCAGGATTTTTCTGAAGACAGCAATGGGGTTCTGTACTGGATGTCTCGAGACCAGAGAATACAAGGTAGGAAATTTTGATCACCATCCTTTAATTATTGTAATTTAAAAAATAAATTATAGTTAAGTCCAAATGAAGAAAAGCAATACAAAGGAAATTGAATAACAAACACCAGTCAGCATACCCCATGACAAATTAACACTTAAAATGAGCATATAAATGAGGCGGGATCTCTGTAATGTGACAGAGTCACTGTTATGTGATGGGGGCCAGTTTATTATTTTTTTAAATATAATATTAATTGTCATTCTGGCAATAGTTTGTATAGTATTTGCAAATATAAAAAAAACACTGATACAAAGCTGGAAATAGATTCTACATAAATTTCTCAGCTACATCTTTATATGGTCTCTCATTAGAACACTTTTCAGCCCATTCACAAAAATATATGCACCAGTAATTAAACATGATTTCACATTTGGTTTATTTTTATTAAAAAATGTCCCTTTATCACTAACAACATCCTAGCACTTAAGAATTAAGAAACTCCCAGAACAGGGGTGTCAAACTGGATAAAACTACATAACAAGATGACACAACATGCTATCATTGTTAAGCCTTGTCTTAATCCGATTCCTTTGTGTGTTTGGTTGACCACCAGTTTCTGAATATTATTCTTTTTTTGCGTTTGGTAGATCAGCAGTTTCCGAATCCCACATCAAGTTAGCTGACTTACAACTTAAGTTAATATGGTTTTTAAGATTTATTTAACAGGTTATTATTGATACTTTCTATTTCAAATCTTATAATGATTACAGATAACTGGGCATTTCTATATGCACAGAGACTAGCTATGAAACTGGAGGTGCCTCTTCACGTCTGCTTCTGTCTAGTACCAAAGTTCCTTGAAGCCACAATTCGCCAGTTTGGATTTATGATGAAAGGGTTGGCGCTGGTAGAGAAAGTAATGGTTCTTCTGTGACTTCATTATTTCCAATTGTTTATTTAATTAGGATAGTTGTGAGATTGATGAGTATCTTTATTTTGATCAAAGTTTGTATGTATTGTAAAATTTCTTTAAGGAATAATTATTTTGTGTTTTTTTTGTTGTGGTTTTAGTTTTTCAGGGTGCCATCTTTTAAAAACAATAATAAGAGAATAATATTTCGGTAATGCGAGCGATCATTATTGCATTTAATTAGATGAAAATTTCACCAAAATTGAATCTACTTAACTTTATTTTAGAGGACTTTTGTAAAAATCTGCTTACAGGAGGCCTGTGCGTTGTGAATTAAGGCTTGATTCAAGCTGTCTTGTCACAGATGGGCACTTCTGATTGTTTGATTCAATGAATGTTAATGAAATGTAGGTTATTTTTCAAGTTGAAAAGAATAGTTCTCTAGATAAAAAGTCATGGGACTTTTTATTTTAAGACTTCAAATGAAACTTAAACAAATTTAAAAAAATGTGTCACATTTTCATGAGATATTTTTATTTTCTTTTGTAGGAATGCAGAGACTTAAATATTCCATTTCATCTTGTCCTGGGGGAAGCCAGCAAATCTATTCCCGCCTTTTTAAAGGAGCATAATATTGGAGGAGTTGTCACTGATTTTTCTCCACTTCGTATCCCCATGAAATGGGTGGATGACCTAAAGAAAGCTCTGCCTAAAGACATACCTTTTTGTCAGGTAATTACAAACACTCGGAGACATACCTTTTTGTTAGGTGCCGGTAATACAAACACCTTAAGCTAACCACTGGTGTGAAACACAAAGATCTAAAGATACATATTTAAGAGACAACTAATATTTGTCTTTCATTTTATTTTTCAAAGTACTTTGTCACAGTACTTTAATTGGAAGTTTTGTTGTTGACTATAGTAAAAAAAAAATGATAATTTCTTTAAATCTAATGTTAAAAGATGTCATTAAAATATAGCATATTTTAAAAGCCGTCGTTCATATATTTTTGACATATTACATGGTGAAGTCATGTGCCCAAATGCTTTTCTTTATGTGTTGAATGATTTTATATATTCATTGTTTATCCATTACTGCCAAATGGTCAAGAAAGCCGTGTTATTGATTGCCTCGATGAACACAAAGGATATGAAAGGGCTTAATTTACCTTTCTGTAACTTTGTATTTTTTCAGGTAGATGCACACAATATTGTGCCGTGCTGGGAAGCTTCCCCAAAACTTGAATATGGTGCGAGAACCATACGAAGCAAGATCAACAAACAGCTTGGGGAGTACCTGACAGAGTTCCCGCCCCTTGTGAAGCACCCACATGCCCCAAAGCAGATGCCTAAAGTAAGGAACATTTCTTGTTGTCCCACCTTATTTACATTTTAAAAACAGGAAGAAATAAAAATTACTTTAGAAAAAGTTTTATTATTTAAATAGGTTAGTATAGAGTAGTGGTACTACAACTAGTTTTGTTGTTTTTTTCCTGAGCAAGAGGTGGAATTTTTGTAATAATTGTTAGTGAGGATTTCAGGGAGGCAGCTACATCATTTCCTTGTAACTATGTTAAAAATAAATATATAAAAAAGAAAATCCTTAAACGTTTAGATATGACTGCTAAAATTTTTGATCCTCTGCAACGATCTGGGACTTTTTCTAAAGTAATTTTTATTTCTTCCTTAAATTTTCATACAAATTAGCTGCCCATTTAAGCTTTTATTTGTTTATACACATTACTTAAAAAAAAAAAAAAAAAATAAAATACTCTAAAGAAATAAGTCAATAGAACAATATGGTATTTTTTGAAAGTAAATTTTATTTTTTCCTTAAAATTTCATACAAATTAGCTGCCCATTTAAGTTTTTTTTTTTTTATAAAAAATAATTAAAAAAAAAAAAAAAAAAATTGAAATTCTCTAAAGTAATAAGTCAATAGGTCAATACGCCTATGTCTAAGTACTAATATCATTTTTTTTTACAAAAAAAAAAAAGCGGTGTCAGGGTAAAAGTAAACGCCAAATACAATTAACATAAGATTCATAAAAATGTATAAAATATGAGATAGAAAATATTAAAATAGAAGAGGCGAATTTTTCTGTAACCATGCTAGTAAACAATTGGCTTAAAGCTGTCATCATTAGCACCACTGTAAGCTGTTCAGCTTATAAACCCATAAAACAAAACAGCTGCATCTGACTAGTCCACACAAAAATGTCAGCTGGTGATATAAACAAATGAGATATGATCTGAAACGCTCAGTACTGTGCTCCAACTCTTTATTTTTGATTGGGAAACGTGAAGTGTAAATTTGATGTAGTGAATGAGTTAAAGTTGTTTGTGATGGATGATAAGTTGAAAGCCTCAGTTTTGATACAAATTATGCCCCCTAAATGCTCTGAGCATCCCTGGGGGTGCGGGGGTTGTTTGTGGGGGGGGGGGCATGGGGTTTGTCAGTTTATGTGATTTCCAGGCTTAGTCACCATGTATTAAGCTTTTGATTTTTTTCTTTTATCCAATCAGGAAACTGATTGGGTTAAAGCAGACGGTTCCCTTGAAATTGACAGAAATGTTAAAGAAGTGGCTTGGGCCCAGCCAGGCACGGAGGCTGGCTTAAGGATGCTGGAATCATTTTGTGAGAAGAGGCTCAAATACTTTGGCACAGACAGGAATGATCCCAACAAGCAGGCGTTGAGCAACCTGTCCCCATGGTTTCACTTTGGTAATTTGTAGTAGTGATCTGCCTCCCCAATGAAAATATTTGTTTTATTTCCTGATATAATAGTATTGTAGGACACAACTTGAAATCTATTATTATTCTATCTGACGTAGAAAAATTTCCTGTTTTAGTCAATTATGAAGCCTACTAATACTAATATCAATACAATTATTTTGAACAAAAATTAATGTACCTAGTTTAAATATTGATGTTAAATCTAACTAGTGTAATTTGTTTATGTATTGTTCACTAACCAAAAAACACAACCCTGATAAATACTTTATATAATAAACACTATTTTATATAATTTACACAATTTGAAATGCATCTTTGTGTGATTTATTGTTACACGTGACTCAACATTAATATTTAAAAAATTGACTGGCTATAACAGATAAATATAATTCTATCACAGGTCAGATTTCCGTCCAGCGCTGTATATTGACAGTTCGGTTGTATCGCAGCAAATCTTCAGAAAGTGTGAATGCCTTTATCGAAGAGGCAGTTGTTCGGAGGGAGCTGGCAGACAATTTCTGCTTCTACAACCCAGACTATGACGCTATTAAAGGTTTGTTGCCTTCTACAGAGTCACTTTTTTTTTAAAATCCAATTTTTCAGTCCGCAGATCAATTGTGTGAGCCCCGAGGACAAGTGAAAATTTCTTTAGATGGGCAGAAAGTGGTTTCCTGTTTGTTTTGATTAAGTTATGAAAATAGCTCACCTAGTACTAATTTTTTCACATCAGGAACCAATGATTGGGCCAAGAAAAGCCTTGATCTGCACAGAAAAGACAAGCGTCCCTATTTGTACAGCAGAGAACAGCTGGAAAACAGCAAGACCCATGACGATTTATGGAATGCTGCACAAGTAAATATATTTATGAAAAAGTTGCTGAGGGAAAATTCATTTCATTTATAAATGATCATTTTGACAAATGAAGCTGACATTTTTGCTAGAATTTTTATAATCCCCAGAACTATGGATATAATGGTTACTGTGGTATTAGGATAAATACAGTAGTTCTAGTTTGTAAATAATTTAATATTTCAGAACAAAATTATTTCCAATGGTTATTCACCAAAAAAAAAACACGTAATAACATAAATTTGTTAGGAGACACTTAAAAACCTAAAACAAAGTTTTAAAACTTTTGGTTTAAGCATGTGACAGAAAATGTACTTTCCACTAATGTAATTTTTAAAATACTTTTACATTATATGGGAAGCCAAAGTTCAGCTGTTCTCAACCTGTAGGTCGCGACCCCTTTCCCAAGACCATCGGAAAACACATATACTCTACAGTTATGAAGTAGCAACGAAAATGATTTTGTGATTGGGGGTGGCCACAAGGTGAGGAACTGTATTAAAGGTTCGCGGCATTAAAAAGGTTGAGAACCACTGCCCTAGATGTTCATATATTATAAAGGGGGGAAAAATTAGTTTTTTCAAAAATGCCTTTTGAGAGTTGCATCAGAATTTTAGTTCAAATTTAAAATTTGAATAATTTTATTCTCTGCTGCTGTCAATCATCACACCCGCTGTCAATCATCACACCCGCTGTCAATCATCACACCTACTGACAATCATCACACCTCCTGCAGATCCAGCTGGTCACAGAAGGGAAAATGCATGGCTTCCTGCGTATGTACTGGGCCAAGAAAATTCTGGAATGGACCAAGTCACCAGAAGATGCCCTGGCCGACGCTATTTACCTGAATGACAAGTACAACTTGGATGGCCGAGACCCCAATGGCTATGTTGGTAAGTAGGTCAAAATTACATGATGGTTCCTGTGACAGTTCTTATTTTATCTGTAGATACAATCGAGCATTTATCTGTAGATACAATAGAGCAGTGGTCGACAAATCGCGGCTATTGATGACCCGAGTGCGGCTCGGCCAGTCGACCACAGATTGGTTGTGACTCCCAAAAACATGGTTCTTGACAAGTTCTTGAAAAGAAATTTGGCTCTCAAAAATTTTTTTTATCGTCCTGCTGCTGATTTTTGGCTTTTTTGACTGAGTGTGTCGACCACTGTAATAGAGCATTTATCTGTAGATACAATCATTTATCTTTAGATACAATAGAGCATATATGAAAATGTATTAAAGCAATAGATGTTAATGCCCTTCTGGGGATATTTTTGGTGATACTATTTGATTGATAATAATATCAAGAGTTAAGAGACTTTGATAAATTAGAAATTCATAAAAGTCGAAGTCCTGTGTCAAAAAACATCAATATTTGAACACTATCCAGAACAAGATGTTTTTGGCCTGTTTAGGTTGTTTTTGTTGTTTTTTCTTGCTGTGAATGGTTCACCTTATAAACAGGATGTTTCATCAGATGCAGCCAGGTTAATTGACTTTCAGAAGAAAATAATTAAAAGTAATCAGTAACAGAGGTTGATTGTAGAAAGTTTGGAGTGCAATTTTTGTTTCTCCTCTTTTCTCACCACATATGTTTTTTCACAACAGGCTGTATGTGGTCAATATGTGGCATCCATGACCAAGGCTGGGCGGAGAGAGCCGTGTTTGGAAAGATTCGGTACATGAACTATCAAGGTTGCAAGCGGAAGTTTGATGTGGCTGCTTTTGCCAGGAAGTACAGTAAAAAGTCTCTGAACAAATGAAATAGTTTTGCCATGGACCGATGAGGCCAGTGAACAAATGAAATAGGTTGGTCATTGACCGATGTGCCCAAAGGCTTGTGTACAAAAGAATCCTGTAAAATGGGCTTGAACAAATGAACCCATGGAATAAAGTGAGTTCATTGAAGTTGACGAGCTTGTTGATGTCACTAGTTTGGCAATTTTTTTAAATTATAGTGAGGCTTCTTCTTTTAGTTTGATTTGTCAAGTTGCTGGAGCTGAAACGAATTCCAAGTTGTCGTGACACAACTTTTGTTCAAGGGGCACAACCCTGTGACCAGGGACACAAATCCTGTTCCAGGGATGCAGCTCTTGGTGCAAGCTAAACAATGGCTTTTAAATGGCAATTCAGAGTAGACTTACTGTTGTCAGAGCTAGAGCTTGAGAGACTTTGGCTTATTCCTGTCACGGTCCAGATCTTCTAACCCCTATTATGATTCTTTGTCTCTGATTCAAACTGTTAAATATTTCTTGAGCTGGGAGTGAGTGGTGGCTCTGGCAGACCTTGGCAGGCCTTTAGAACGCATTCAGCAAAGCTCCTATAAAACATATTATTCTTGGAATTACTTCATAAAATGTTATTGAGTCAAAATAAGCTTTTGGTTAATGGATGAAAACCAGACAAACAGTTAGGGTAAGACAAATCCGTCTGTGTGTAATCATATAATAACTTAAAAGCAAACCATTTGTCTATCATCTTCTTATTATTATTATTAAGATAAGAAAGTTGAATAATTAATTATTGAATACAAAATGACATTTACATTTGTCCATTTTTAAATTTAATTTTACATTGACCGCCTATAAATTACTAAAAAGTGTAAAAGTGCATTCATTCAGACTTGATAGATATAAAAGTGCATTCATTTAAGAATTGATAAATATAAAAGTGCATTTATGAAGACTTGATAGATATAAAAGTGCATTATTTAGACTTGATAGATATAAAAGTGCATTCACTAAGGTTTGATAGATATAATAATAGTGCATTCATTAAGGCTTGATAGATTCTCACATTCATGTCAATATAAAAAAAAATTAAATGGCTTTTATTATTTTTTGTTTCCTTTGCTTCAAATTAGCATTTGTATTTATTAGGGCTGACCCAGGTGCAGTTTTTTACTCCCGGTCCTGGTATTTTGAGACAATACCCAGCAGCAGACCTGTTTACTCTTACGATTTTGGCATTCAATATATGATTTGGAGGTGTATACATTATATACTGTATGTTTATTTTTTTTACGATTAAGATAATGTATTGAATGATTTTGTGATGATGTTGTATGATTTTAAGAGTTTGAGGGTAAACAGATCTGCAGCAGGTTTCAGTACGGGTCCTAAAAAAGAAAAATAGTTGTCTTCTCATTTACTATAATGTATCCCACCCAATGAGTGAAGTGAAAGGTGCATGTATAGAACCGGTAGCCATCACATCGTGATCGTGAAGACATCAGAGTTGAAGGCTTCAAAACGCTAATAGCTTACTAATATAATCCTAACCCAGGGGTTCTCAAGCTTTGTACTGCCACAAACTCCTTTATAACATTTACCAAGTTGCAGAGACCCACAACCAGAATTATACCTTGAAATTGAGAAACAGGTGTTGAGAAGGCAGGAGGGTGGGGTAGAGTTGTTGTTTTTTTTAGATAAAAAAATGTTTTGTTTACTGTCATTTTAGTATTGTAGTTGCATGTTTTATATGTTATTCAACACTGTATTAGTATTAGCAAAAAATAGTATTTTCTTAAATTGTTTTATTTCTAATATTTTTTTATGAATGTTTTTTTAAAAGAATAAGCGTTGTTTTCATCAACATAGAATAATGTTTATTTCAGAGCCACTTGACTGAATCTCCTCTGTATTATTCAAATGCAGCACATTTTAAAAAAAAATTTAAATGTTGTTTATAATAATGAAAAAAAATCCACTGTAATAAAAAAAAAAATACTAACTATGAGTTTTATTTTTCTATAAATTGGTATTGCCAGTAAAGCTTGATTAGGACCAGTAGCTTAGGCAATAGTATTGTGATTTAGGACAAGTAACTTAGGCAGCAGTATTGTGATTTACAGGACAAGTCACTTGGGGCAGTAGTATTGTGATTTAGGACAAGTAACTTAGGTAGTAGTATTGTCATTTACAGGACAAGTCACTGAGGCAAAAGTATTGTCATTTACAGGACAAGTCACTTGGGCAAAAGTATTGTCATTTACAGAACAAATAACTTTGACAATAGTATTGTCATTTACAGGACAAGCCACTTAGGCAATAGTATTGCCACTTACAGAACAAGAAGTGTAGTAAATAGCATTGTAGTAAACAGGACAATAAGTGCACCAAACAGGGTCATAACTGCTGCTTCACAGGACCACTGGTCCGGCCAAAAGGGTTTACTTTGACGGGAACACTGACGTGGCCCATTAATTAACGCTTTTACTTTTTTTTCTGTTTTCAAGTTTTTTAAAGTTTCCCCTGTGTCGACTGTGTTGTTAAATGTTTTGGATCCATGTTTCAAGTGTAGTCACAAGAAAATTCATGACCTGGTTTAAAAAACAAAAAAAACATAACCCCCACCCACCACCCAAAAAAATAATAAATAAATAAAATTAATTCAATTTACAGGGTTTCAAAGGTTTCACCTAGGGCTGACATGGTGGTTAGGTGCGTCGACAACAGAACATGATTATATGTTTATACATACATATACAACTTGTGGACTGGAGTTCAAACCCGATCTATACAAGGAAATAAATGAAAACAAGCCACTTTTGGTAGAAGTGACTAGTCAAACTCGGATGGTGGCTAAACAATGAGAAAGAACTTGGTCTACAACCTCTGCTGTGTTGGGGGCTCCATCCTCTGTGGTCAATAGACTGGAGTTAACCCAGACAGAATATTTGGTCTACAACATCTGCTGCCTTGGGGGCTCCATCCTCTATGGTCAATAGACTGGAGTTGACCCAGACAGAATATTTGGTCTACAAGCTCTGCTGCCTTGGGGGCTCCATCCTCTATGGTCAATAAACTGGAGTTAATCCAGACAGAATATTTGGTCTACAAGCTCTGCTGCCTTGGGGGCTCCATCCTCTATGGTCAATAAACTGGAGTTAACCCAGACAGAATATTTGGTCTACAAGTTCTGCTGTCTTTGGGGCTCCACCCTCTTTGGTCAATAGACTGGAGTTAACCCAGACAGAATATTTGGTCTACAACATCTGCTGCCTTGGGGGCTCCATCCTCTTTGGTCAATAAACTGGAGTTAACCCAGACAGAATATTTGGTCTACAAGCTCTGCTGCCTTGGGGGCTCCATCCTCTATGGTCAATAAACTGGAGTTAACCCAGACAGAATATTTGGTCTACAAGTCTACAACTTCTGCCGCATTGCGGGCTCCATCCTCTATGGTCAATAAACTGGAGTTAACCCAGACAGAATATTTGGTCTACAAGTCTACAACTTCTGCCGCATTGCGGGCTCCATCCTCTATGGTTAATAAACTGGAGTTAACCCAGACAGAATATTTGGTCTACAAGTCTACAACTTCTGCCGCATTGCGGGCTCCATCCTCTATGGTCAATAAACTGGAGTTAACCCAGACAGAATATTTGGTTTACAAGTCTACAACCTCTGCCGCATTGCGGGCTTCACCCCTCTATGTTTAATCTACAGGAGTTAACCCAGAAAGAATAATCCGAGACGTAGTCCCTGTAGGACAGCGGTTCTCAACCTTCCTAATGCTGCGACCCTTTAATTCAGTTCCTCATGTTTTGGTGACACCCCTCCTCCGCGCCCCCGCCCCCCCCACAAACCATATTATTTTATATGCCATTTGATAGCTGTAGAGTATATATGTTTTCCGATTGTTTTAGGTGACCCCTGTGAAAGGAACGTTTTGACCCAGCCCAAAGGGGTCGCGACCCACAGGTTGGGAGCCGCTGCTGTAGGTGGTCTGACATTTTAAGAAATTCCAGCAACTTTTTACGAAGCCGTTCATGCAAAGCTGCACGGTGGCTCTCAATCCGATGACACACCACCGGTTATGATAAAGCTCATCTAACATGACACCGACAATTTGTTCTTTCTTATTTTTGTAGAATTTAACAGTCGAACAACTTTAGACACCAGGCAATGAACACGGCTCCAAGACCCACACAAATGTTGAGAGTCCCTGCTCTGATTCTTCATAAGATTACAAAACAATTCTCTTTAGTCATTAAAATAAATGAAAGGAACCGTAGTTTTGTCGAGCAATATAACAGTAATTCAACTGGACTGCTGTGAAGCGGATGTCGCCTGCTCGGTGACCTCATTAATGAGATGGTAAACCAACACGAAGTGTCCAGCGATGTGGATGAATTGTCTGGGAGTCGAAACACTCCATCACGATTAGGCGAGGGATGGGGGTGAAAATAGAAGGCGGCATGGCATCGCGCCCCAACACACCACCACCCCACCCCCCAACTTCCCTAACGTTTTCATGTCAAAATAATAAGTTTAGATGATTCTAGCTCCACTACGTGTTCAACAAGTGAGTGACTATAGCTTCACTACGTGTACAACAGGTGAGTGATTATAGCTCCACTACGTGTACAACAATTAATGATTATAGCTAAACTACGTCTACAACATTTTTATGATTATAGTTCCACTTTATGCACAGCAGTTTTATTATTATAGCTCCACTGCGTGGACAACACTTTTATGATTTCTAGCTCCACTTTGCGTACAACACTTTTATGATTATAGCTGCACTACGTGTAAAACACTTTTATGATAATAGCTCCACTATATGTACAACAATTTTATGATTATAGCTCCACTACTTGTACAACACTTTTATGATTATAGCTCCACTTTATGTACAACAATTTTATGATTATAGCTCCACTACTTGTACAACACTTTTATGATTATAGCTGCACTACGTGTAAAACACTTTTATGATAATAGCTCCACTATATGTACAACAATTTTATGATTATAGCTCCACTACTTGTACAACACTTTTATGATTATAGCTCCACTTTATGTACAACAATTTTATGATTATAGCTCCACTACTTGTACAACACTTTTATGATTATAGCTCCACTACGTGTAAAACACTTTTATGATAATAGCTCCACTATATGTACAACAGTTTTATGATTATGGCTCCACTACTTGTACAACACTTTTATGATTATAGCTCCACTGTATGTACAGCAGTTTTATGATTAAAGCTCCACTACATGTACAACAGTTTTATAATTATAGCTCCACTTTATGTGCATTGTCCTTCTTCGCGGGGGTTTTCTCCACCCTGTGTATATTCCTGCAATTGTGTACATACATGTGTATATTCTTGCAACAATTGTGTACATACCTAGTCGCACGGTTCATTTTCGTTTCGCAAAGCTTTTCAGACGCTCCAACTATCTCAGCGGCTCATAACCTGTGAGTCGCGACCCCTTTGAGGGGAGTCGAACGACCCGACCCTTACGCAGGGGTCGCCTAAGACCATCGGAAAACACATAAATATAAAGTAGCAACGTAAATAGTTTTATGGTTGGGGGGGGGGGGGGCGCTACAACAGGGGGGAGCTGTATTGAATGTTCGCGGCATTATGAAGGCTGAGAACCACTGATTTGGTTGTTCCAAAAATGTATATCAAGTTAACGTTTTGGGGGCGCCTAAGACAATCGGAAAACACATAAATATAAAGTAGCAACGTAAATAGTTTTTTGGTTGGGGGGGGGGGGGTCGCTACAACATGGTGGAGCTGTATTGAATGTTCGCGGCATTATGAAGGCTGAGAACCACTGATTTGGTTGTTCCAAAAATGTATATCAAGTTAACGTTTCGAGGCCCATGTCGATCAAACATGTCCGCTAGCGTGAAGCCGTGCTGTCCAAGAATGAGGTTGAAATGCGACAGCGTATCCAAATCATGGAAACAATTAATTTCGTGTAACTGTTGGTTATCTAAGTTACTAGCCAATGTACCCGGCGTTGTGCGGGATTGCTTTCGGACAAAAAACAACTTCTACAGCATTTTAATTAACATTGAAATTAAGCACCAAGTCATAAAAAAACACCTCTATAGTTTTTTTTTCTTAAAAATGTGTCTCCTATAAAAACACATTTAAAATAACTTTTGTAAACATTGCGTCCCCCCGACCCCAGAAGAATTCCAATCGGACCCCTTTTTCCGATGGTATCCCGTTATCCAGAGGGATCCCAATCCCGTATGGATCCCGATCCCCGTTAAATCCCGATCCCGGTGGGATCCCGATACCAGTGGGATCCCGATCCAGTCGGTATCCCGACCCCTGTGGTTCTCGATCCCGTCGGGATCACGATCCCGTTAGGATCTCGATCCTTGTGGGTTCCCGATTCTGTCGGGATCACGTTTCCCGGTGTGTTCTCGGTCCCGGTTGTATCATATCCCAGTGTGATTCCATTTCCCGGTGGGATCCCGAGCCCGGTGGATCCCGATCCCAAAGGAATCCCGATACCGGTGGGATCACGATAGCGATCGGTTCCCGTTCCTGTCGGTTTTCTGATCCGGTGGGTTCCCAATCCCGGTGGGCTCTTGAACTCGGTGGGTTCTCGATCCCGTCAGTGTCCCGTTTCCCGGTGTGATTCCGGCCCCGGTTGTATCATAATCCCGGTGTGATCCCGTTTCCCGGTAGGATCCCGATACCGCTGAGATCCTAATCCCGGTGGAATCCCGACACTGGGTGGATCCCATTTCCTGGTGTGATCCCGATCCCGGTAGAATCCCGAACCCTCTGGGTTCCCGTTTCTCTGTGGGATTCCATTTCCTGGTGGGCCCCCTGATCCTGTTACTCGATGGGATCGCATTACCGGTGGGTTCCAGTTTACTCGTTCCCCTTAAGGATCCTGTCTTTCGTTGGGATTGCATTACCGGT